GTACTAACCAATTTTGAAGTAGATCCGATGAATTCCCGTAGGAAATTTAGCCAAAATGAAAATCAAAAATCAAAATGGCCGACTTCCGTGGGGTTATCGGGTATGTGTAAAATAGGCTTTTCTGTAAGGTCTCGGCATGTTACCACGTGCCTACCGAGTTTCATACATATCGGATGAAACGTGGCTGCTTTTTAAAATCCCGTAGGGAGTGCTACATAAACCCGACAAACACGTTTTTTGGTATGTGAGCTACAGGCACCAGTTTACACTGTCCTGTGAATTTTCATATTCATATTCAACTATTTACGGTCTCCGCACAGTGAGTTTACCCTCCACCGAGTGCACCACCTAGTGGCGGATTGTTGACACATGTTTATTAGTGAGCCTCAGGGACCATGAGCAATCATCGTACATAGTTTTCTTTTTTAATCACGTGTGCTGATGCAGAGATATAAACTTCTTCATTTTAAAGAGCGCCACCTTGTGGTGATGGCCTCAAATTGTACACGTTGCCTAAGGAAGACATGGAGAGAACTTGAACAAAGCTTGGTGTGCAATCAGAACATAGCCAAATGTGGAGAAATACTGTACTTCCGGTTTTGAGGAAAAATCTACAATCTATTTTTTTTCAAATATCAAAATTCTTGCCAGGACGGCCCAGAGGGCTACGTAAAAAAATTGTCAGACAAGTGCATAGGAGGAACACGAAAAAGTAGTTTAATGGACATTTCGCACTCTAGCGAAGAAAACATTATAGGCCGAAGTGGCGGGGGGCCCCATATATATGGGGAGATGCAGCTCCATTCACCGAACGCGTGGATATAAGGTTTTTGAATGTGCGACAAACGATGCGGGAGTTATTAGCCTAAACGCACTATTCATGATAGTAGCGCCACCTATTGGCCAAGCCGAGAGCGACGCATAGAATATCCAATTTTTCACTAGGTCTGACAACTTTACCAAATAAAATTGAATTTTCGTATATGTTCAGGGGGGCAAAAACGCAGTCAAAGGCGCTAAAAATAATAGGTAAGAAGAAGAAACATAGCAAATACAATAGGGACCTCCAGCGGTCGCTGGCTCAGTCCCTAATAAACCTTTTGACCTTCAAAGTGACAAACCTTCAGGCTTATGTAATTCGTTAATGAGCACCATGGCAGCTATCTTTTCCACAGCTGTTGCCAACAAACAAGCTCTAAAAACCCAACATACGCTATCTGCCCCGCACCAAACAACAGACAGACAATGTGACAAAGTTAGAAACTAGCTACTGAACATCGTGTATTAAGTAACTTAAGAGCCACACTTCAGGAGTTGGTGGAGACTGAAGGATATTTGTTAAAACAAAGGAGGGGTGGCCCAATGGGAGCACCCTAGCGATGAGCAGTTAGCAGCTATATAAGATTAGTAGTAGTTCAGAGAATAATATAGATCTGAGACAAAACTGACAGAAAAAAGGCACAATTACAAATCCTTACAATGCTTTTTGGGATACAGAGATTTGATTGGCTGAGTAGTAGGAGGAGGTTCCTGGTTCACTAAACCAGGAACCACCATAAAGACTGTGCTGGTTAATATAGAGACATAAAGAAGCTTTGTCAAAATTTAATTGTTCTCAATATTTTATTGGTTATAGATCTGGGTTGGGATAGGTGGCATCTGGGTCATTGGTTAACCTACATTCACCAGGTGGACAAAAACAACCAAATGGATTTCTAAATTTTGCTTCATGTACTGAATGTGTAAACTGGCAACTGTTATGCTAACATGTTTGCCATAACAACTTTATAAGCTGATTCTATGTAAGTGTTGTGTTTACACTTTGTTGCTCCCTATTGGCCGAGACCACTGATTAATGCAAGAATAAAATAAACTGTTGGTGACTAGTTTTTACTAGTACCCACACTGTGACGATGTAAACACACTTATATCACCACACCTTGAGCAATACCTAGTACACACACACACACACACACACACACACACACACACACACACCACACACACACACACACACACTCCAATTAGTCACTACATTCTCTGCCTCTGAAAACTTGATTCCACTGACAAAATAAATCCTCAATGAAAAAAAAAACTTTTTTTTAATTCTCTCAATAATATTTTTTCCAAACAACCAAACGCTGCAGCCCCATATTGTTCCGTGATGTGAGATTCTGTTTGGGCTCAAGTACACTTCACAGTATATTTCCTTATTTTCAAGAGGGATTCTTCACTGATGTTTTCTTTGCTTTACTGTTGGTTTATATTTTTCACTGATAGATGATGTGGAGAATAATTTTGCATGGGCACTGCTTCTGTTGACCTTATTACAGTGTAGTCAATAACCCAGGTTCAAAAAGAGCACTGAGTGCCCAGGAAACAGTGACTTGGCTTTCATTATTATTCTTTGTCTATTTGGTAGATAGTAATTAAGGCATTTAAGTCCCAAATTCTTCAGTTTATGTAACTGGTGTGGTTTCAAATATATGTTTCTTTATAGTTCATTGTATGATTAAAACAAAAAAGGACAGTTGTGTCTTGGTGGCTCAACCTGTGCTGAGGTCTGAATGTAGTCCAGAGCTTTTGTCTTATTATCACAAACTCTCTCTTCAAATTGAACTATGTCACTAATGGAGGAAAAAGTTCCTAAAACATGATTAGAAATCAGTCTGCATTAGAGCTATTTCAGCAAGAAATGGAGTGAAACTGAATGAGTCATACTGAGACTGAGGGTCTGCTGAATAAGAGAAAAGAACCAAATGGGGTTTTTATGTTTGTCCCAAGTCACAGAGTCATTGGACATTGTGTACTGAAATATCACAGATGTCAGTATGAGCTTATCTGTATTTTCTCCCCACATGGCCAAGCTAAGCAAATGTTGTATCTAACATTACCATGATAATAAAACCTATGATATGATGTAATGTAAACACAGTGAAATACAAATAAAGACCTCTTAGTTATAAAACAAACAAACACTGGTTAAAAATGTCAATATAGCACGAACGCTATACTGGGTTAACTTGACCCAGTACTAACGGAGTGTTTTGACCCAATGTTAGGTTTTTTAAAATTTTATTGTTGGATAGTTTTCTCCATAGACGTATATTGACCATAAATAACAGCAAAATCTGGTGACACTTAGGTGCTGCAGCCTTTATATAACACTATGATTATTATTAATATTATGAGAATTAATTATCTTCCAACACATAAGTGATTCAGTTCTACATGCACCTCTCGCTTGACCGTCTTACTGCTATTATAACCAATTAACTATCGAGATTCTAAGACATAAGATCAGGAGACAAACAAAAAAGATCTACTCCATGTTTATCTTAAAAAAATGACTCAATGAAATCGGTT